CAGGGGACAGTCTTAGCCAAGATACAATTTGTGGCAAAACAAGACAATTGTATGGAGATTTGATAAAAAAAAGCATCCTCTCATTGCTACTGAAGAGTTTGATTTTAAAGCAAGCAGAGGATGGTTCGAAAAGTTGAGGAAAAGAAGTGATTCGTCATGGGTAGGCAGCCAGTTCAGACAAGGAAGCTGCCGAAAAGTTTAAAGTTGAGTTTGAAAATCTCATCAAGGCCGAGGAATGTCTTCCCCAGCAAACTTTTAATATGGACGAGACTGGACTTGTGTGGATAAAGTGGTTCAGAAAATGGATGGAGGGATGTTACCTCGTACCATAGCGTAGGACTGCAGACAGAGCGTCCATAGTTACAGCCATTACTTTAGGGTTTATAAATTCAAGGTGTAAAAGAGTGCAATCTACAATTGTCACAATGAGAGAGAGAGAGAGAGAAGAGAGCAAACTACAATAGTCACAATGAGAGAGAGAGAGAGAGAGAGAGAGAGAGAGAGAGATGTTACTTCAATTTTTATGTTACAATGTCAATGTTTATGTTAAAATTGGTAAAAAATAAAACATACAAAATGTTTGTAGTTTGTTGTTACCTGCTCTCTTATTACACGTGTATACAGTTTGTGGTGAAAAAATAGTTTAAAAAATGCTTTTTAAAAAGTTGTTTTCTCGACTTGGAACGGATTAAAAAATGTTTACATTGATTATAATGGGAAACATGGTTTCGGTTTTCGAACAAATCGGTTTTCAAACAACCTCCTGGAACGGATTATGGTCGAAAACTGAGGTTTGACTGTCGTATATTTTTGGAACGATGAAATTCGTTCCGTTATTTTTTTAATATGAACTGAACAAGTTCATGAAAAAAAATTGGGAGAACTTTGAACTAGTTTGCATTAAAAAAAAAAGAGGTCATTGATGTCATGCCCATCTGACCTTTACGTCATCTAAAGGTGACAAACTGTTTGACAAAACAGACAGCCGTAAAAGCCAATGGTGGATGAAGGGGCATAAAACAATCCGCGGTGAAAAGATGCTTTAGAACACACACACGGACGCATGCATGCACACACACACACACACACACACACACACACACACACACACACACACACACACACACACACACACACACAATGTATGTATGTATTATGTGTAAATATATATGTACTGTACACACATGTATATCTCCATCCATCCATCCATCCATTTCTGATCCGCTTATCCTCACAAGGGTCGCGGGGGTTGCTGGAGCCTAACCCAGCCGTCTTCGGGCAGTAGGCGGGGAACACCCTGAACCGGTTGAATAGGCTGATTGAACACTCTAAATTTTCCTTAGGTGTGCGTGTGAGCGCAGACGGTTGTTCGTCTCTGTGTGCCCTGCAATTGGCTGGCAACCGGTTCAGGGTGTCCCCGTCGTACTGCCCAAAGACGGCTGGGATAGGCTCCAGCACCCCCCATGGCCCTTGTGAGGATAAAACAATAACAAAACAATAACAAAACAAACTATTCTTTGAAAATAAACAGATCATTTGCATTTTGAAAATTGGCGATACAACAGCAAATAACTGAAAATGTTGAGCAGCTGAAATTGAACAAACTTTTGTGCACGAAGGTGACTACAATGCACCATTATAAATTGCAGGTGAGAAGATTTATTTGATACATTTTTGTATCTTTGTCATTTTATTTCGTTACCATGAATTTAATACTAACGAAATAAAATGACAAGAAGAAATGTAAAATAAAATTCATTTACTCACCAATGTCGTGCCTGTTCACTGAGGTGCAGATCTACGCGAGTGTCCCCAAACGTTTTTAA